TAAATAAAAACACCTTCAAAATCACGCGTCTGACTTTGGTTGCATATGCAAATTAAATGGCGGAGTTCAGCTGTCAAACTCCAAAATATGCAAAAGAATGAGAGACAAAAGAAGATAGGATATAACCCAGTAAGCATTAAAAATATACAAAGGTGTTCTCTGCAAAAGGTGTTCAGCTCCTTTTCTTCGCAAAACAGAAAGGGGAATTCTACTGCCTGAGGGTTATAATCCCTAAGTGCGGCCGAAGGCCGCCTACGCAGAAAGGTGTTCTCTGCAAAAGGTGTTCAGCCCCCCTTCTTTGGCAACACAGAAAGGAGAATTCTACTGCCTGAGGGTTATAATCCCTAAGTGCGGCCGAAGGCTGTGATGAATTGGTTAATATTAAAGTCGTAAAGCAAGTTATAACAAATCAAGTAAAGTGTAAAGTGAAGGGGAATACAAAAATATATTGGTGAAGTGGCTAATTTAAGCAGAATAGGATTGATAAATGTACGCTAATTTCCGAACTTTACAAAAAAAGGCATATTTCAAACCCAATTTGTAAATAAATTAGTAACCAAAATTTACAAAAGTGAGTGTTAAAATATTGCGTGGACGCTTGACTACAAGTGTGAGAAATTTTTTTCGGATCGGACCACCCATTTGGACGGAATAGCCCGAAATAGTTGTGAGCGGTACTAAACCCCACCCCAATACCGATTTGGGGCATGTGTCCGGTTGGCATTTCGCATTGATTTTATTTAGCGTTCGAATTGTGTACAACTAATTTGTTGTTTAATAAATGCGCTAAAGCTTTGTTATAAAACCGCGTAGGTACTAGTACTTGCTGCTGCGTTGCGATAATACCTAGTGGATGCTTCATTCAACACCGTTGCTTTGTTCTGTACCGTTCAACATTTGAGCGAATTCGAAATCCCCTAGGTATGAAAGAAAATTAGACTTATTGACTTATTGAAATTATTATATTACAACCTTCTCTTTGAACGCGCAATAAAGCCAAATGGCCAAACGTCCAAAGAATGTTCGGTTGGAAGGAGCCGTCCTCGCAATCCGCCAAGTGAATTTAAGAACTCTGGCTTCAATGGTCGCCATCCACTTTATCATCTTCATCGGGGCAAAATTTATTTGAAGTTCAGCCGACCGCCTAAGCCAGAAAAATCTGAAATATAAATAAAACATTGAGCTGAACTAATTCAAGCAAGGCACTAAATTATATCAACCACAAATTTACACAACTTACTGTTCGCCTCGTGGAAGCTTTATTTTCCTTAATAACATTTTATTCATTGTGGATATTGCAAAGTTGGTTGCAGGTGATTAGAGAGGAGCTGTCAATGCGAGTGATAGAGATGTGCAACAAAACTCGAATCCCGGGTTGTTTCATTTTGCTATTTGGTTAATTAATGGAAATGCGTCCGTTTCGGGTTTAATAATTTTATTGTTTCAGTAAAATAAATAAAAACCCATCTAATAATTTTTTAATTTTCGGAAGAATTTTTTATTTATAAGGGCTTAATTTATTTGTGCACCATAGTAAATTTTTCCACCCCGTCTCATCACGGAGAAAAAGTTACCGGTTGGCACACAGCCTAACTCTGAAAAGATTTATAAAAGATAAAAAGAGAACCGGTTCTTTTGACAAGGGCGTACACCTCTAGCTAGCAACGGCGCCATCTGTTGTTCGCGAGCAGAGACCAAAGATATAAGAATCGATGGAATGGGAAATTACGAAAGTACATACGTGCAGTTTGGACGGGGTAAACGGTGAAAACTTGAAAATACATTTCAAAACATTTGTGGTACAAGTTATAGCATTACACTCTACTATTACCGGGTGGCGGGAAAAGGTCACCATAATTACTGTGTAATCTTGTATTTACTCGTTCGGGGAATGGCTTTCAAATTTCTCACTCGTATGATTTGCTACGCTTACGATTTTTGCTTTGCTTTTTCCATATTTACCTAAACACATAATATTCTGCGAACAAACTTACATCCGTAAACTGTGATCGATTGAAAGGAAAATTGTTTTCAAGCTGTTGGCAATTCGTAGATACGTGTGTGAGCGTGTAAACGCCACTTTTAAACTCATTAATACATTCACGATATTAATGTTACGATTATAGCTCGTCGGCGATTTCAAGCATCCGTTGTTGGTTACCCCAGCAACGAGTACATGTGTGAGTGTCGGGTTGAATGTCGGGTGCTTGAAGCTTGCCCGGCGACACTCAAGCATAAAGCGTCAACACCATTTCCAATAATAATAATAATAATAATAATAATAATAATAATTTGCTCATTTTACATATCACAACAAACTAACACACTAATGCTTGTCAACGCTTTGCGCCACTATCAAACAGACCGCTTGTCAAGCGGTCGCGTTGATGGAAAATCAAAAATTTTTGATTTTCCATCAACACGAGCCCCAAAAAGTCTTTGGGGAATTTGTATGCTGCTACAACAACAACAACAACAAGTACGTGTGACACGACGATCTCCGATTGCCTCGGTTGCTGGGGTAACCAACAACGGATGCTTTAAATCGCCGACGAGCTTATCCTCGAAACCTTGAAGGCCGGTCCACATAGAACTTTCGCGTTGGCTTTGGCGTTGGCGTTGGTTTGACAGAACGCACGTTAAAAGAATGCTTGCTACAATGAACGCTTGGCAGCGAATGCTTGGGCGACTAAATTAACATACTAACGACAGATAAATTAATATTTAATATCAATAATTGCATTAAAAACGATATTTCTGGCCTGCACTTGATTAAAAAGGGAAAATATTTCACACAATTTTATTTATTTGCAACAGCTGACGAGCAACGCACGCGAAAAGATGAGAGTTGGCCATCTTTTTGCTTTGTGTTGGCGTGAGCGTTGCCGAATTTTGGCTATGTGGACGGCTGCACTTGAATTCATGTATTCATAGTCAGCTGTTGAAGCGACGCCAACGCCAACGCAACGCCAAAGTTTTATGTGGACGGGCCTTGAGGGATTTCCCAAATATACTCGGGCTCGTATCGCTGGATTGTTAAATAAATGCTAACGATGACCAAATTGTAGTACAATTAACTTTATTGTACAACAAACAATTTTCAATACTTGCTAATACAGTAAAAAACACTTTACAATACTTGTTAAAGCAATAACAACGCTTTACTACTTATTAACACAATTAAACTTATAGCTTGCTTATTCGCCACTCAATTCTCCGCTCACTTTACTTGTAGCTTGCTGACTTGTAACTAACTCACCTCGTGGTGGCGGCGCCCTTATATACCTGCGTTGGCACTTATGGCAACTCTAGAACATTCTGAAGTTTATCGCTCATTCTTTTTCTCTCGCTGTTCGCAGTGTTCATCCAACTTGACGTTTCTCTTTGTGGAACATTCTACGTCATTCTTCGAACATTCTGCCTATTTCTCGTTGTTCGCTTTGTGTTGCCGCAGTGTTCGCCACACTGCCCTCCACCTAAGTCTGATCGTCCCGATCAGACACACTTGCGGTTCCAAACGCTGCAAGCCTTTCCAAGTGGACCACCTTCATCTTGTTTCTTGGTCTCCCGACGGTCTGGATCCGATACACTACGTCATTTAGCCGTTTTACGACCTTATACGGACCTTCCCAGTTGCATTGTAGTTTTGGGGACAAACCTTTCTTTCGTTGTGGATTGTACAGCAACACCAAATCTCCTTCCTGGAAACCCTCGGAATTCATCGCCTTATCATACCTGGCTTTCATCTTGTCACTCATAATTTGTGTGCGCTGTCTCACAAGAGCATGTATCTCTCTCAGCTCCTCTTCCAGGATGTTTGACGTCTCTTTTCCAATCCTTCTAGCATCACCAGTCACCCCAAACTTCAGATCACTAGGCAAACGGAGCTCACTGCCGAATATTACCCTTGCAGGAGTTTTACCCGTTGTTTCATGCACTGCTGACCGGTACCCCATCAGGAACAAGGGTATGCGGACATCCCAATCTTTTTGATTCTTGTCCACGACCTTCCGCAAATGCTCTTCCAGGGTTCGGTTGAACCATTCCACCATGCATGCATGGACATCCGGAATTCTTACCCTTGGAACTACTATCAGGTTGCGGGAGCACTGGCCATCTTCGCTTTCCCATACCCTATGCAAACAGCCAGATATTAATTTTAGGCTGTTCCATTGTGCCCAGTACGCCTTTGCGATGGGGCTTTCCGCTGCCATTTGCTCCTTAGTTGGCCTCCTGTCCACCTCCAGTCCATGCATCAAAAGCTCTAGATCTGGATCTTCCTGCTGACACTTTCGTAGCTGTTCTTCCTTCCACTCTTCCGCTGGTGTTATTGTCGTTAGGCGGACGTCTATAATGTCCTCTTTTCCCTCAGCTTTTGAGCAGTGTTTACATTCCAGGCTACATGGTCGGCGGGACATGGCATCAGCATTACCGTGGACACTTCCCTTGCGGTGTTCAATAGCGAAGTCATAACTTTGCAGTCTCTCAATCCATCGAGCTAGCTGTCCTTCTGGATTCTTAAACTGTAGTAGCCACTTCAGCGCTGCATGGTCCGTTCGAACTCGGAAACGTTGCCCATAGAGGTACTTGTGGAAATGTTTGACGCAGTCCACCAACGCTAGTAGTTCTCTCCGAGTTACGCAGTAGTTCCTCTCTGGTTTTCCAATCGACCGGCTATAGTAGGCAACTACCTTCTCCTGCCCATCAATTAACTGCGACAGTACGCCTCCTATGGCATAACCACTAGCATCCGTATCCAAAATAAACGTTGCACCTGGAACGGGATACGCTAGCATAGGTGCAGTACATAGTCGTTCCTTCAGAGTCTGGAAAGCCTCCTCCTGCTCCTTGTTCCACTCGAAGGCTCTATTTTTCCTAGTGAGCTCGTGGAGGCTTTTAGCAACGCTGGCGAAATTCGGAACAAATCGGCGGTAGTAGGTGCATAGCCCAAGAAAACTTCGTAGTTCGTGCAGGTTCCTAGGCCTTGGCCAATCCTTTACTGCTTCTATCTTTTCCTTCGCAGTACAGATGCCCTCCGTTGTCACCTTGTGCCCAAAGTAGTTCACCTCCTTCCTGAACAGTGAGCACTTTTTAGGACTTAGCTTCAGACCAGCGCCAGCTATCCTCTGGAAAACTTCTTCCAAATTGTTCAGGTGTTCCTCAAAGCTTTTACCCAATACGATAATGTCGTCTAGATACACGAAACATGTTTTCCAATGCAGTCCTTTGAGCACATGGTCCATAAGTCGTTCAAAAGTGGCAGGAGCGTTGCATAATCCAAAGGGCATCACCGTGAATTGCCACAGACCGTCTCCAACGCTGAAAGCTGTCTTCTCCTTATCCTCGTCACTTACCTCCACTTGCCAATAACCGCTCTTAAGGTCGAGTGTTGAGAACCACTTTGTTCCAGTCAACGAGTCCAGAATGTCATCGATCCTGGGAAGAGGATAGCTGTCCTTTTTCGTCACATCGTTTAGTTTCCGGTAGTCTACGCAGAACCGCATTTGACCATCCTTCTTCTTCAGAAGTACTACCGGCGAACTCCATGGACTCGCTGATGGTTCAATCACACCACTCTCGCTCATTTCGTTTATTATTTGGCTAACAGTTTCACGTTTGGCAAGTGGAACACTCCGAGGAGCTTGACGGATTGGCCTTGCATCGCCAGTATCAATGCGATGTTTCACAACGTTAGTCCTGCCTGGTTTGTCGCCATCCTTGTCGAATATGTTGCAGTATCTTCGGAGAAGTTCCTTAGCCTTGTGCTGGTATTTTTCTTCCAACCCTTCCGTCCATGCATTAATGTCTTCCGCAATGTCATTCTCGCCAATGGAATCGCTTTCAGGTAACTTTTCGCAGTTGAAGATTGCCTCTACCTCTCGACATTGCCCCAGTACAGTTCCTCTTCGGAGTTTGACTGGTGACTTGAACTCAGTGAGCACTCGAACTGGGATGCGTCCATCCTTTTGCGTCTTAGCCAAGGTTTTACCAATAAGTACGTCCGGTGTAGAATTTTGTGTTGCTTCAACAACCCACAATTTGTTTGTCCCACAATCTCCATCAATCTTTGCCCACACAACTGCTTCTGACTTCGGTGGAATCTGCTCGCTTTCCTCTAGGATCACTCGCTTGCTGCTGTATGGACCATCATACCCAAACCGAAGGGGCACTTCCATGTTGTTATACGTCATAATCCTGTTCTTCATGTTGATCTTCATACCTTGATCAAGCATGAAGTCTAATCCAATGATGACTTCATCCATAATCGCCGCGACTATGAACTTGTGTAACACCGTCACATTCCCTATTGCGACTTTGCATGTTACCTCCCCTACAACTTGGGTGTCCTCACCAGTTGCTGTCCTCAACCTTGC